ATTAAAATTGAGATCGATAATGTCGGTACGACTTTCGTCCTCGTTTTCCTGGAATCGCGCCAAGGTCGATCAACCATCTCTCGACGCGGTTTCCTCGCTCCTCGTCAAGTCTGTGCTTTCGATCAGCGGACGTACGTGCGCGTAAACACCGACCCTGCCAATGGTATTTATTCGAGAAACTGGATTAAACCGAGCGAGAAAGTTCCGCTGTTGTCGAAAGCGTTCGGCATTAACATGCGTCCGATCCGTCTTCGTTGTCCCCTTGAGGAAATACTTTGAATTAGAATAACTCCTTTCTTTTTTTTTTTTTTTTAGAACAGCGTGAAATTTTTGGAAATTGAAGCAAGCAAGATCTTCCTTATCGTGTGTATAATCCTTAGCGGATGCGATAAACCGTTCTTCGAAATTTTTTACAATTTTTTTTTATTTTTGTTTTGACAGATAAGGTGGAAAAAGAAGGAAAAAATTGGTTGGTAAAAGTGTCAGAAGTATCTCGCCGATCGATCGATTCCTTTCAAAATACCAAATCTCACCGCAAAGAGGTAAAAGAAAAACTGATGAAATATAATTGCAAAATCGTCGGGAGGACTTTCTTGCGGAGAAAACGCAACGCGGTGACAGAGAATGATGTAAGGGAATAAATGTCAATCACGGTTCGATCCGACTGGGCGAATAAAATCTCGCGAGAGAAGAGGTCTTTTCGAGTTTGGCAAAAAAGTGTCTAATCTAATCGATACCGGTTCGAACCTGATAATCCGCTTTCTATAACATGGTCTAAAAATATTCGAATCTTTACACGTCTGTGAAAATATAAATAACGCAATTTTTCGAAAATAAATCTTTCGATTTACCGAAATCAATTGTAAAATCTGCACTCTGTTTTTTCGAGACTCGTAATTCGAGACGTTTTGAAGGACACCGAATGGTTAATTTGAAAGTATCTCGTCCAAATTATCTTAATAATCGATCCTTAAGTTTTATCGATAAAGCAACGACCAATTGAATAATCACTTCGGATTAACTATAATATCGGAATGTCGAAGACCAGGGTGGTAGATACGAGAGACTGGGTGAGTCACATTGCTCGTGCACGACCTTCGCCCCCTTCCAGCCTTCCCCGTTATTTTATACCCGCCATTATTATTATTATAATCACGTTACGATCGGTCGGTATTCCGCATACGCGTATGATCGCACCAGTACGCCGATTGTGTACGAAAACGGTACGCACCTGTCCACCAGTTCGACGAATTTCGATGATTGGACGAGATAATAACAAGATATACACGGAAAAGCTTACGGAAAAGTAATTTTAGAAACGATAGAATTATTTCAATATATTGAAATGTTACAACGCGAATCTCGACAATTATCGGCGATCGGTATATAAATATCCTTTCATCCGCGAGAAAGGAACCAGTCAACGAAAATATTCAAAAACGTTCTAAAATCTTTTATCTAAGCAACAAAAAACGAATCTAGTTTCTTTATTCGATAATCGTGCAGAAAGAAACGAGCAAAATCGAGAATGCGAGGATCAGGTTGAAAGTCGAAACTGGTCCTTGTTGAATCGAATCGAGAATAAAAGGACAAGAGATAGAAAGAGAAAAGAGGAAACAATATTTTAACGAAGGAATTAAAACGAGGAGTGGAATAAAAAAAAAAAAGAAAAAAGGGAATCATTTTAACATTTGAGACAGTGCTTGTTCGATGGCGGTGGGTGCGGGTAAGAGAAGTGGGGAAGAAAGAACGTGGCAGACGTTTATTACCGGGCCACTGTTAGGTCTTCGGATGGCATTTTCAGCGAGAAGAATAAAGAGAGAAAGGAATGGGAGATCTGCGAGACGACGAGAGAGAGAGAAAGAAAGAGAGAGAAACGTAGAGAGCGAGGTATATATCACAGAGGTGTATATACACTCTTCTCGAAGCGACGAAGGAGAAGAGAAGGAGGGTTCTCTATAAGGAGGTGGAAGAGGAACAACACGTGACCAATCACTTATATAAAGGTGGAGAACGACAGGGCGCAAACACAGAGTTCTCTCTCTGCTCTCGGTGGACACTGTGCGTTCGCAAAAGTGATAATAATTTTTTTTCTCCTTTCTCCTCCCCCCTCACCCTTCCTTCGACAAATCATCGACGAATTTTTACGCGTCACGAGGAAAGGATCGTGTGGTAAAAAGAAAATACCAGATCAACGTACCACGCGGGACGTACAACAACACACGCACGTAACAACAATGAGGACGTACTACGTGATAGCCGCCATTCTGATCGCCGGTACGTACCCATCACGAAATAAACAATCACAAGGAAACAAGAGGGTGGAAAGAATAGGGAGAATAAAGGGGGAAAGGAAGTAATTATCGAGCGTATTTATCACGTGGAAGGAAGAAAGTTGGGAGAGGAAAGTGTTGCTCGAGAACGATCGTTACGATCGGAAGTGGAGGAAACAAGTGCGTGACATATGCGTGTGGAAAGAGAGTGCCCTCCTCCTTTGTCGCCGATTCTCAGCGATGGAATTATTCGTTTAATGTAGTCTTCGCTTTTCTATAATCCTTCCAATGTTGTACGCGGTTTCTCTCGATATAATCCAGATTTCGATTCGATTCGATTCGAATCGAGAAATGTATATTGTACGTGTGTTTCGTATCGGAATAGTATCGATACCTTGAAAAGTGACTTGTTCCAACTCTCGTACGACTGGAGTGCTATATTCGCGATATACGTATCGTAATATCCGCGGCATTCGAAGGAAAGCAGGTCAACTTACGATACGTTCAATGATCGAGAAAACAGCTATTTATATTTGTAATCTCATAAGCAACGAAATATTTAAATTTCTCCATTCGATTCCCTTCTATCCATCTTCTCGAGCCTCGCGTGAACTCGAGCAATTCCTCGCATACAAATCGGTATGAAAAACACGCGTGATTGGAAATAGTCGATCTATCAAAAAACTAACAATCGGCTTTCTCGAAACGAGTATAGTATATTATGTTTCCTCCATTCCTTTTTCCCTCCTCTTCCCTCGCTGAAACGGGATAACCTTGGCCCAGATCTTGACCCTTCCTTTTTCATTTACCGACCAATCCACATCCAAAATCCTCTTTCTCTCTCTTTCTCTTTCTCTCTCTGTCTAAAAATTCACGATCGTGATTACGATTAAATTAGATAATAATCGAATAATCAAAATTTGGAAACAAGCTCGTCAGATCAGAGACGCGATTTTTGATCGGTCTCTCGAAAAAAATGAAAGTGAACACGAAACGCGCACAAATGTCGGCGAAGCTCGTAGGCGCGAAATTACAGGCAGGATGAAAGGTGTGTGTGCGTGTATGAAAATGAAGAGAGAGAGAGAGAGAGAGAGAGAGAGAGAGAGAGAGAGAGAGAGAGAGAGAGAGA